CCAAGGCATCCAATTATCTATTAATGTTGCAGTAGGACAGAGAAAAACAGCCACTGCTGTAGAGATGCGTTTATAGTCAGAGGCTGGTGGTGAATAGTGAAAGTAAATAAAGGAGCAAAGCTGCTGTTCATTTATTCAGCAACATTGAGAATTCAGCGGAATGATTTGTTCTCAGTATAAAAAAACTCAATATGTGAATTTGAGCTGTTTTTAGAAAACAAAGTGGTTTGGAAGCATCGTGTGGCAATCCAACAGACAGTCTATACAGTATAATGCAGAAGCAGAGCTGAGCGCGAACAGCAAAGAAATAAATCTGCTAAGTAATAAGAGTTGTTTGTTTTTTTGGAGATAAGATGTAAAAAAATGACTGTTCTGACTCAGTTCTGTTAACATTTGAAATAATGGAAGGAATAACAGGATGTTCTTGTACAACACAGACTAGAGATAAGAGCTTTACAACAGCTCTTGTATAAACAAAGGAATCTAGAAGACAGACCTTTAAAACTGTACAATACATTTATTTTGACAAAACATTTTCCTTGAGAACAAATATGTTTCAGCATGTTGTCCACTAATGAGGAGAGGACATTTTTCAAAGCAATAGGAATATTTTGTTACCTTTTTTCCCCGAGATTCTGGTTTCAAATGAAAAAACATAAAATAAAGCATAATTCTTGAGGGGTTTTTATGTACATTATATAATTTCAAACAGATTTTTATTTATTTTTATCTACTTTGATTCTGTTTTATTTTCCTACATTTTAATCATGTAAAGCACTTTGCATTGTCTTTGTGCTGAATTGTGCTATACAAATAAATTTGCCTTGCCTTGCCTTGCATTTATGTGCATACTATAAAAATATGTTCTTTTTTAATTTTTATTGGTACATATTAAACTGGACTATACATTTAGGATTTTAGGTCCAACAGGAATACCAAGATCATTTCACTATGCCAAAAGCAACAACGATAAAAAACTAAGATTTTCTCCATAGGTTCATCTTTCCACCAGATTACGCTATCTGTGGTTCATTGTTCCAGGTCTAACTGGCCAGCTTGGTTGACCCCATTGCTCCCACACACCTTTCAGCTCCGCCCACACATTATTTATTGGTGAAACACTTTAGTAATTTGTGATGGCTCCTCCAAAACAGATTTATTTGGTCTTAAAGTCACTTTGTAACATTTGGCAGTATGTTCGTCATTGTTCATTTGGAAGACCCATTTAGGATGAAGCTTTACATTCCTTGTTGATTTGTTGCTTTAGATTGTCCACATACTTTCCTCATCAGGCCATGCATTTTGTCAAGTGCATAACTTTTATTGCAGCTCCTCTTAAGTTCAATCAGACAACAACACATGTCTCCACAAGTTATAGTATTTGTCCCTTATTTTATTTACAAACTATGTTCTGGCTTTTTCTAATGGAACTTTGGGAGTTGTGATTTCTTTCTTGCTCACTTTTTTTCATCTATTTCTCTCTATCATTCATTTCCATCTCCATCCTAAATAGTTTGATGGATAGTCTCATGCTGTTCATAATAGAATTTAACTTATCATGGACATTTTAAGGCACCTTGAATCACTATGTTAAAAGATGACCCAAACTTGTAGAGGAAAACAACTTTTTTCTTGATATCTTACTTGATTATTTATTGTCCAAGATGTCATGCAGGAAAGCAGCGTGTTTCAGGTTTTGTTTTAAAACATATCCAGAGCCGTGTCTCTGATGAACTGAAATGTTGTGATGTAAACTTGGAAAATAAAGAAAATGAAAAAGAAATAATCACAAACGAGCTATTGCTTAAAATAATATTTTTTAGGAAAACAAATATGGTGATAATTCCATTTAAGCTTATTTAAAGTACTGTGAAACAGGATTTCTCTTTATATGGTGTGTGTAAATTGCTGGTTTTAGTAGAAGTATTTTTTATTTTATTAAAATCATCATGTGATTTCTTTTTAAATGGCTTTGAGTTTTTACTAAGATGTTCTTGTAAATTATATCTCAAAGAGCACAAAGAGAGCATGTTGGTAGCAAACTGTTATCTGTAAAGTGAATGACATTAAAATGTATCTTAATATTTCTGTTACTGTTTCTATAGGCACAAGCAGACGTTTTTGTTTTTTTACTAAAGGAAGGTATTAACCTAAATGAAGAGACAGTCACAAACATTTGCAAGATAGTGTCTCATTTCTTACTTATTCAAATGTTTTTTTCTCCATGTACAGCCCTAATGCCTGTTTGGGTTTGACGCTTGTTTAGAAATTCTTCTGATTGTTCTGACTGCAGACATACAGAACAAGAAGCAGATCAAAAACACTGTCAGTAAACAGCACAGACGAGAATAACGAGAAAGGAGCAACTTGATGCAGAGTTGATATGTCTACCAAACTGCAATTATTTTCAGATCTGGGAGTCTGCAATTATGCAAAGCTTTACACTACCCCCCTAAAGTGGTAAAGTTGTCATTATTTTGTACCTAAATGATGCACAGAAACCCAGTCTTCTACTTTTATAGAACTGTGAATGCTATAAAACACAGAAACTTGGCTTATGTCATTCAAATGTCCTTAACAGTTATTTGACAAGGCATAACATCATCAACCACAATGTCATGATCCATTTGAGAGACAAATATGTTTGCATTTTGCAAAAGTGAAGATGGAAATGATCACATAAACCAACTCATAAATGGTCTAGTACATAATACAGTTATGTCTTAGTAATGAGCCAAGGTTGCTTTAATGGAGGGCCTAAGGTCACCTGCATTGTTAGCTCTGGTACCCCTCATCTTCCTCTTAACAATCCCACATCAATCTTCCATGAGGTTTAGCTTGGGTGAGTTTCTGACCAGTCAAGTACAGTAATGCTCATTAAAGTATCTTATTGGCACTATAGTGAGAAGGATGCCAAGGCCAGGTGGAAAATAAAATCACTAAAGGAAAACAAAGTGCTCTAAATGTTGTGACTCTGTGACATTCTGGACCAGGAGACAGTGATTCTCACCAAATAATGACCGACTATCGAAGGCTTGATTTTTTTTTGTCTCTGCACTACATATTTCTGGATCATGCCTTTAAAAGAAAATGTACTTTTGTCTGACAAGATACATTTTTTATGTTGTTTTTTGATTCAATATGGATAAAACAAGAACATAGATGGGATGTCCTTGCCCATCTAATGGACAGTCCTTTTATTAGTTTCTATTAGTTTTATTACTGGAAGAAAATAAAAAAAACGCCAGATAAAAGTAACCCATTTTTTTTTACAATGTATCAATGTAATAATTGTAGTTTCCAGCAACAATTCTAACATTATCCTGTAGACATAAATTAAATATTTTCTGTTAAACTTGAAAGAGAGAATATGTCGCTGTTCTGTACTGAGGAGCATATATTTAGTGTCTGAAGTTTCTACCAACTCAAAAGTTTATTTTGGTTCCCAAGCTTTGAAAATATCTCTTATTAAGAGAGGCGGTTTAGATTCAGGGAGGAAGAGCATGTCAGAGAAATCTTACTTTGACACACTTTTCTGACATCTTCATGAAATTTCTTCCCAATGTTTTGGGCAAAATACAGCAGAGTTGCAGAACTACGAGTCTTCAATGTGTCTTCTGAGTATTTTTTTTCTTCAAGCTTTTGTTTTTTCCTGCACCCACCCACAAACAACACCCCTCCCCCCACATTCACACTTTTACACACACACACGTCTGTTTTTATTCCTATCCATGTTAAGACTTGACATTGACTTACATGCAACTATTTATTGCATTTGCATGCATTATATTGCATTAAACCTGATATTTACCCTAACCATTAGCTGTATATCCCAAAACTTTAACCTGAATTAAATTCCAGACTTCCGGACATTAAAAATGGGGTCTACATGGGGTCTACCACATTAGGACTAGTATTTGGTCTCCACAAGGTTGGTCCTCACAATGTCAGTAAATGTAAAAAAAAAAGTGTCCTAAAAAGGTGATATTATCACAGTTGACTTCAACATTGCATTGATTTCTATGACCCAACCCAGACCCTAAGCCTAAAAATTATCAGCAGATACTGTACCTAACCTAAAGTCCATTCACACCTTACTTCTAAACCACACCCTCACCCTAAGAAAAGAACTTATCCTCAAGGTGACGAGTTATTGGCCCCCAGATACAAATTAATCTAGACTTAAACCTAAAAAGAGAGCCTTCAGTTATTAAACAGTAATTTTGATTAGGTAACGGATCACATATGATATTAATAACATTTTGTGAAATTAGTCTTGAATCTGAGTAGGACTTTTTTAAACTTATAACAACATAATGTATCAACTCTGTTGCTTAGTGTTCACATATGTGCATAATGTAATTGGGAAAACTTTGACTGGTCATATGCCTAAGACCTTATTAGACACTCTAATAAGGTCTTCCTATGTTTGCATAGTACTAGGACTTTGCTTCCCATTGGGGATCTACATAGACTATATTTTATGTTTTTTTTAACAGACCACTATGAAGTAGTCTATATCTGTAAAGTTAAAACAAAAATGATAAATAGCCATCAGTTTTTTGTTTTTTTTTTACTTCCTTGAGAACATAAATCCTAAAAGGTTAGCATCCATTTATATTTAGGCTCCCATCCAATATAATTATCCTCAGCTTTCTACCTAGGACACAAAGCCATAAATCATTTACTGGAAGAATGTAGCTTTAGAAACAACTTTTATGAAAACTGCATTTAACAGTTGTCACAGGAAAAAAAGATAACAGCAAATACAGGTAAATGTCCTCAAACAAAAGACACGGTGGAGGGGAAAAAACTGCCAAAAAGAGATCGACATTCATATATTTTTTCTATCAAAAGTTTAGCTTACTCATATTGTTTTTCCTATCATGTAAAAATAAACTTGAATTTGCATCTTTAATGATGAGGAAAGAGCATTTAAATGACTAGAAAAAGCAGACTGATGCTAGAGTACAAAGAAGGACTTTTGCTCTGCAGCTTACCTATTCTGAAGGATAGTGGGCCACCACAGGTGCTTTTAACCCACATGGCTAAGAAGAGCAGAAGCGCCCAGGCTGTGAGCATCTTCTATGACTCCTCATGGGTCCTGCCCCGGGTGTGCCCCTGTCACAGCCACCTAAAACACATACAGAGTAACAGTGAGGCCTTCATACCTGCATAAAAGGGATATAAAAACACAAATTCTTGTCTTTAGGTCTCCATCTATTCTATTGCATGCACAGATTATGTTGCTGACATTGCAGAATATGGCAAAGTAAAGTGGAGGCATAATGCACTTCTGATGAGGTTGTCGTTTGGTCAGATTAATTGTATTAATAAAGACAGAGAACTTCTTCTATATGGCTCACAGGAAAAAGAAGGAGCTTTGACAGGAAAATTCAGTGCTACAAAATGACACAAAAAAGCATTATCTTTAGCTGAAACTTGAAATATCATTGGTAGAAACATAAAATAGTTACAACTGATTTTGTCTCAGCAATACAAACTCATTTTGATCTCCAACACAAAGAGTGGCAAATTTTAAATATTATATATATTCTTCTGATACTTTGCATGACTATTACTTGCACCTGTTAAAAAAATAATAATAATTTAGTGTCAAAGGAGATGGTGTAGGAGAAGACTGCTGCTCGATTTAAAGCATCAATTTATATGAAGTACACTATTGCAGACCGTTTTAACATTTATGAAAAGCACTCTCCTCGCTGTTTTTCTAGATGATTTAAATAGGATTCTAGTTTCCAAGTCAGAATTGTAAGACAGATTTCCTACATTTATTTTTTGGTGGCAGAAGCTAAATTTCAGAATTAAAAAAACTAAATGTTATAAGTAAGTAATACGTTTTATTTTACTATACATTTTTACACATTCTATGTATTTCTGATATCTGAAATACATTTCTTCCAATTCAAAATAATTAAAAATTATGACCAGTAATTGTAGGATTATTGAGATCTGAAATTCATTTCTAAACATTCAAAATGTTTATTGAGATATAAAACTGTAATTTGGTTTCTAATGTTCATTTCAACAATGTATTTACGATAACAGAAATTCACAGACTAATAAAAATGAAATTAGCCTACAATAGCCTATTTTAACCTTGATAAAATTACAAGCGAATATACAGTAGCTTATTGAATTAATAAGGGTGGATCAATGTATTAAATTTAGATGGAATCTCAAGGAAGAGAAGTGCACCTTGCAGAATGCGAAGATAAAGTATAAAACATTAAAACAGTTCTGTGCATCATCTCATGTTTTCCCACTGAAATTATTAGGTTAGCGCAGGTGTTTCAAACACTTGTTGAACCACTAACAATTGGCACTGCTGTGACAGAAATTAGGAAAGTAAACAATGGAGAGCAACATAAAAGTGAGCCAGGGCATAGTAGTGTACATTATTGTTTCATTCTTTTGTCCCTCCATATTTCTCTCATCAGTGCTGTGCCATATTTATGTCGAATGTACTGTAAGCAGAGTTGTTTTGGCTTGTTAGATCACATGCGATTGGGACGGTGTTGAGATATGTGCATGTTGCCCAATGGCATTACGTAAATTAGGATGTGGACCCAGTTCTAATGTTCCCACTGAATGCCGGTCGGAGCAGAGCCATTTGAAGGCAGTTTTAATTGGGTCCCTTGCAGAGTCGTTTGACACGGGTCACTGAGTCATTCCAACTGCCACTTAAAGCTGATTGTTCCCAGGTTTAAACAGGTTATCTGGCCTGTGGGAAAGGGGTTTTAGATTACACAGTATATACCACATGGCTGTTTTACTGTTCATTTGTTTTCTATTATGCTGTGATCACACAAATCAATGTGCTCTCACCAATCAAGGTCAGTGAAATACCTGTTAGGCTGTGTAATGCTTCAATGTGAGGACAAATAAGGTTGTGGATGTATGTATGTAGATGGATTGTGAGCTAAAAGTTTCCTGAATCTGAACGCTACGCGGGCTAAGAACCGTCTCCTGACGTATATTTAATTCTCTGTCAATTCTTTAACTGCATCCTTGTCAAAAGGACATTCCATGTTTGATTTTGTGTCTAATGGACCTAATAAAGGATTTTATTTTTATTTTTCACACAAAACTATGAGAAAACTGCTGACTAAATCAGGAAATAGAACTTGATTGGTTTTAAGGAGAGTGGAGACAGAGGATGCTCTGGGTTTGTTGAACTAAACCTTCTCCCTATAAGGTTAGCTGTGGGGGGAATGTTACTATGGTAACAGAAAAAAGAGGTTGAGTAAACTCTTTCTGCAACAGAAAAATCAAGTTTCCTTAACTTCAAGGTTTAATTTCCAGTAAACCTGCATTGTGAAACATTCCTCTGGATAAGTCTCTAAACATATTTAGAAAAAGTCAGCCAAAGTCTGGTTGCCTTTATTTAATCTTGTTTTGTGGTTGCCATGACCTGGATGACAGAATGTGCAGGTACACTGTTGTTTGTGAATAAAAAAAAGATTTTAAAAAAGCCTTCTCTTAACTGAATGTCAAGCATGTCAAAGAGTTATGCAGCTGACCATCTGTTTTCTACTTCTGATTTTCTTTTCCATACTAGCACTTTCACATATATTTTCACAGAATTTCAACATTGATTTTAAATAAAACAATATGTTGCAAAAAAAAAAAATACAAAAATTTTAAACTATATATTTAAGGTCGAGAGTTGTCTCACCCACATTGTTTAAGTAAATTGAAATCCCTAATATGTTACAAAGGGGCCTTTCTGTTCCATCATGACACTGCACAGGTCCATAGAAACATAGGCGTGGAACAACTTGACTGACCTGCTCAAAGTCCTGAACTTAAGCTAATCCAAGACCTTCAGTGATGGATTAACAGTTACCGGTATTTTTGTTAATCAAATGAATTGTACCCAACCTCATAAATACTTCTTTGAAAAAAAGATAAAAACTTCCCATCAAAGTTCTTCTAAACCTTGTCTATAATGTTCCTATAAGGGTTTCAGCTATTATAGTTGTAAAGGGTGAACTAATGCCAGATTAAATCCCTTTGTAATAAAAGAAGAGGTCATTAAGATTAATGTATATGTAGAAGCAAGCAACCTCATACTTTTGATGGCATAGGTTATTTTGGTACTTTAAAATTCCTTCACGCTGCTATAAATATATCCTTTTGACACATTTAATGGCTTTGTTGCATAATGCATTCTTTTCATCTCCTGGGACAGTAATGTAGTCTAGCATACTGATTTCATTTTGTCAGCAAACTGACAGCATCATAAACATCTCAGCAAAAGCATGACAGATTTCTATTGATTCAAGAGACATGACATTTAACAGTCTCTGTGATTAAATAAAGTAAGGTGCACTGCGTGAAAGATTCAACTATATGGAAAATGTAGTAAATTATGCTTTCAAAACAGAAAGAATTGCACTCGAAAGTTAAAAACAAAAAAATGTAGCATATAGACAAGGTGACAATTAATGCATTTATTGAGCATTAGTTACAAAACAGCAGCTACATTTTACCAATCATACACTGCAAGCAACAAAAAGAAGAATGCTGGACACAGTGGGTTCAGCTATAAATAAGAAGCAGTGTACCCCATAATTCTTTGTTTCATTTCCAGCATGCTTTATTAAATTACAATTAATTTACACCTGGTCGCTGTTATTGTAGTAAAATCTTACACACCATCTTAAAAAACTATTACTAGAGATACATTTAGTTCGTTTTCCTCGCATAACACTTTCAGAGGTAAATCTGAGTTGTTTCATGGCAACAGTTTTAGTTCATGAGTTCTGGCATGAATTCATATGCATTTTAGCATTGGAGTGGATTGTAAGACAAATTGAGCTTTGAGTGCTTATTGCCCAGAAAGACACTTTGTACTTCTTTCAAACATGTTTCAGAGTATTTAAATCATGTTTGAAATATCAATTGTAAAAAGATAACTGGAAGTGAATTGTGACACATTCCTGTTGATTTGATCATACGAATGGATGTTTTACTGACTAATTGTAAAATCAAAGAACTGCTTTGTATTTAATAGCTACTAATGAAATTACTTGTAAAAAAATCGTACTTTCCAAGCAATTTGCAAAAATTGAAATAAGTGAAAAATACATTCAGGAAGTAAGATTAATCAGTGTCAATTAAAAGCTTCATCAGCACAGAGTTAGAGAGACAATGAGCTTGTCAGCTTTTTGACTGAGTGCAAGCTAAACCACTAATAGCTTCTCAATGAAAGACTAAAGCACAAATTCGAATCCGCTCAATACAGAGGTAAAATGAAAGTCAGGTTGAATCTTACCCTTCATTTCTCAGCTCTCTAGAGTCAATTATGTCAAATCCATTTTTAGCTTCTCATCTAAGTAAGACAAACACAGATTGATCTATTTTTCTCTTACTGCACTGAGGCAGAAACAATAAAGATGAAGCTAAGTGGTAAAAAAAAATGCAACCAAGATGCTAGCTTATATACATTTGCACTAGTTTTTCTGCAGAATATGTTAACCAATTAAGACAGCTGTGTATAATCAAAGCCAAAATGCAAAAGATTTATATGCTTTATTTTTCATTTTTATCATACTGTATGCTTTCATATCATCACTTATCATATACTACCCCACAATGCTTAATCACTCAATTTGTTTACCGTTTTCTATTCATGAAGTTTTACTTTAAATTTACTACCTCCAACCTTTAAACATGAAGGTCACCAATATGCTTTTATCTTACAAGATTTTTTTTTTCATATTTTTTTCACAAGACAGAATATTTTAATGAAACAACAGTCCATATAGTTTTTATTATTTAGACGTTTTTGCTAAGTATAATATTTCAAACTAGAACATTTCCGAAGAAATTTAGACAGGGCCTGCCACTTGGTGCGTTATATTTGAACTGGCAACAAAGGCTTCATGGCAGGGGTCCCCAAACTTTTCCCTTCTCTGATGGGGGGCCAGGGTCAATTTGTAACAGAAAAATTGTGACGATTGCAAGAGTGCCTAAATTTATGACGGGATTCATCGCGTCTCCGCAGGTTATATTCTTTGAATACCGTCACTGCCACTTGACAGATGAGACTGACAGCCTTTTCTTTGCATTGAACAAAAAAATTATCGTTTGTCCAATTCAGGTTAA